CCCTTTCTTGTTACTCATTCATTTTTTCATATTCCATCTCCTCTTACTTCTTTTTCTCCTATCTCTTCCTCCATACCTGTCTAGACATATTTGTGTAAGATTATACTTTAGAGAAGCGCTCATATAATGGACAGGGATATGTAAATAGAAATTCTGGAAGTGCCTTGGAATCTGGGGTGCTGTACACAGTGTATCTATGTTCCACGCTTGACCACAGATGCTCTAGTTTGCTTTATTAAAAGTTTAGGTCCCTTTTCAATCACTCATTCAGGAATATCATGACCTATTTCAAGGGATGGGCTGTTTGCAGAGTGACTATGTAGTCCAGATAAACAAGCAGGCCCCTCCACTTATCTGTCCATGAAGAAAGGTGTCATTTGCACTCTGTGATAAGCCCAAGGCTGCGTTTGCATGGATGGATACAATGTAAGTAATACAAAAAATTGAGGAGTCAACAGAATGGATGAGCTCCTAGATCATTTTGGAGAAAAGTAGTGACAATCTATAACAACTGGTATCAGAGCCAGTGTTTCATGCACCAGGTAGGCCTAGTAAAATCTCAGCAACTGCTTCACAGTCTGGATTAGGTACAGTGATTTTACCGTAACATGAAGATTGTTGGTAATCAGTGACATACAGATCCAGACACATCTTGGAGGCCAGGCACATTTAGACCTTGAAAAGGAAATTATAACCAACAATAAAATATTTTTTTCCATATAAAGAAAAAAAACAGAGGAAAGAAAAAGTGAGATCACTAAAAACTGATGAAATCCTGGAAATTAAATCTGCTCTAGGCACGGCCCAACACCTAAAAACATACTTTGCCTTGTTTTCTAATAAGTGTAGTGAGGAGCTTGAAGCGATGGCAGAGTGACTAAGAGGAACAAGGATATAAAAATAAAAATTACCACATCTTAGGTAGTAGCCAACCTCAAAGTTAATGGGACCAAATAGAAAGGCACAAATAACTTCCATTCAAGAACATGAAAGGAAATAACACATGAAATTACATGGCCAACACCAAAAATATTAATGAATCTGTAAACTTAGAGGTCATACCCTAATTGCAAGTATAGTCCTTATATATAAGAAAGACGGGAAAGAAATCCAGGAAACTATAGTGATAAATGATCATTGGGATAAAATAAAACATGCTTTTACAAAAGATACATCCTCTCAGGTCAACCTACCCTCTTTCTGTGAGAAAGTAAGACGTTCTTTGATTTTCTATACAGGGGAAATGCAGCACATGTAATCTCCCCAGATTTCAGTAAATGATCTGATACAGTTCCAAAAGGGAAATTATTAGTTGAATTGTAGAAGATTGGGAATAATATGAGCATTGATAGGTGGATAAGGAACTGGTTACATGAGAAACTATATTGGATTATGCTGAATGATGAAATATCTCTCTAGAGAGAGGTATTTTTAGCAAACTTACTCAAGAATAAGTCTTGATGCCAATATTATTTAACATTTTCATTAATGATATGGGCACAAAAAGTAGATATATGCTAATAAAATTTGCAGATGAAGCAAAGTTAGAAATGCTTCCTGTCAGGAGGAGGACTAGAATATTGTATAAGATTTGGATGACTTTGAAAAACGGAGTAATAGAAATAGGATGAAATATAAGAGTGCAAGGTACATGATCATGCACTGAGGGACTAACTGCAATCTTCCCTGCAAGCTTTGGATTTACCAGTTGGAAATGATAAAGACAAGGGTGTACTGATAAAACATAGTATGGCTATGAGTTGCCAATGTAGTTAAAACATGAAAAAGACTAATGCAATTCTAAGAGGCATTACCTGTGGTATTTCCAGTTGGGATTGGCAAGATTTTTTTAATGCTTGCACAAGGCACTTGTGAGATTTCCTCATTAGAATGCTGTGTGAAGTTCTGGACTTCCATATTTAAGAAAGATTAATTCAACTGGAAAAGTAGGGCTACATAGAAGGGCTACTGGATAATCAGAGAAATGGGGAACCTACCTTATAAGAGGAGACGTAAGGATCTTGGGTTTTTTAACTTAACCAAATGAAGGCTGAAGGGAGATAGGATTACTTTCTATAAATGCATCAGAGGAATAAACCTCAGGAACGGAAAAGAGTTATTTAAGGGCCCATGTTGATATAAGAACAAATAGTTATACATGAGACACAAACAATTTTAGGATGAAAAGTAGATGAATATTTCTAGCCACCCAGGAGTGAAGTTCTGAAACAACCTTTCAAGAGGAGTAGTGGGCTCAGTAAACCTAATGGCTGCGTCTAGACTGGCATGATTTTGCGGAAATGCTTTTAACGGGAAAGTTTTTCCGTTAAAAGTATTTCCGCAAAAGCGCGTCTAGATTGGCATGGATGCTTTTGCACAAAAAGATCTTTTGTGCAAAAGCATCCATGGCCAGTCTAGACGCGATTTTGCTCCAGAAAGCCCCGATCGCCATTTTAGCCATCTTGCGCAATAAGCCTTTTCCCAAGTGGCAGCGTGAAAGTATTTGCACAAGAAGCACTGATTTTGTACATTACAAAGTCAGTGCTCTTGTGCAAATTCAAGCGGCCAGTGTAGACAGCTGGCAAGTTTTTGCACAAAAGCAGTTGCTTTTGCGCAATATCTTGCCAGTCTAGACGCATCCAATTAGTTTCAAGACTGAGCTTGATAAGTTAATGGAGAAGATGGTATGATGATCTTTCCTACAATGATATATATGGTCTTTCCATAACTGCTAATAGTAAATGCCTCAAACTTCAGGTACTCTGAACCATATGGAGAGAGCTCTGAGTTGCTACCAAGAAATATTTCGCATCCACTTAATCAGGATCTAAATGACTACTATGTTAGGGGTTGGGAAGGAATTTTCTCTTGGTCAGATTGCCATGGATCCTGTTTTGTTTTTGTTTTGCCTTTCCCTGAAGCATTGGGCACAGTTCACATGATGTCTATAACTAGAATAAATGGCAGATTCTCTGTAACTTGAAGTTTTTTAAATAAGATTTGAGGATGTTGGTAAAGCAGCCATGGTGTTATGGGTCTATTGCAGAAGTGGGTGCAGAAGCTGTTTTGGGTAATAATGTGCACAATGTCAAAATAGATGATCATGATTGTCCCTGTTTGCCTTAAAATCTATGAGTCTATCATTTCTATGCGGTTACTTTACCAGATCTGTTCAACTATAGGGCTGTGTCTACACTGGCGCGATCTTACGCAAAAGCGTCCACTCTTGCGCAAAAACTTGATGCCTGTCTACACTGGCCGCGTGTTCTTGCACAAGTAAACTGATGTTTTAATGCACAAAATCAGGGCTTCTTGTGCAAGAACTCTGATGCTCCTGCTCAGGAATAAGCCCTCTTGCGCAAGTGGCCATCAGAGCTTTCTTGCGCAAGAGAGCATCTACACTAGCTTGGATGCTCTTGTGCAAAAGCACATCTCTTGTGCAAAAGCACATGCCAATGTAGATGCTCTCTTGTGGAAGAGTTTTTGCAGAAGAACTCTTTCGCAAAAGAGTTTTTGCATGAGAATGCGCCACTGTAGACGTTGCCCTAATAGACAGCTAAACCCCTAAAGGTGTTGAATACCTGCATCTGTAGAATGTCTCCTTAGCAACACAAACTTCTGCAAGCACATCAGAACTGCCTTCTGTTCTCTGTGATGGTTTGCCACACAATTTGAACTCATGGTCCTGGCCATCCCCATGACAATTCACATCCCTATCAGATTTCAAGTCTCTGAATCAAAGCAAGTTTTCGTTAGAGTTTTGAATGGAAAAGGTTGCCAGAATTTTTAATATATGGGCACAATAATTTCTATTTACCTAGTTTTGTCCTTGGAAATGACTGAACCAATCAGAACGCAGACAACCACCATGGAACATTCAATTTTCGCTTAACAGTTAAAATCCGGTAAAGTTATATGCAACTGAAAATGGTTTTATAATGGAAAGTACTAGGCAATATTTAATTGTTACATCAACTCTATCTACAAGAATAGAATACCTTTCACCTTGAATTCAGTGCTCACTATAGTCCAGGATGTGACACCTAGATTTTATTTTTAACTAACATTTAACTACAACAAATGATTGATGGTTGAATATTGTTCTTTGGCTGATGCAATATCTAAAAGCCAACACCTTACTAGAATTCTTTCCAACAAATATGTTAGGTTTACTAGTGCCTGGAAAGGCTGACTTTGAGGATAGGACTCTATTTGGGGGAGGCATTGTTGAATTTATCTCCTTTGAATCATAAAGTGTTTAAATCAGTATTCAGCAAAAACCTCAAGTAGGATGACATCAGTATGCTGAAAATTGTTTTGAGGAATCTGTCTAATTATTACAGGAATTGTGGCAAATGGTCTGGAAAGTTTAAAAAAATCATTGCAGGAATTCCTTAGATGTTCAACAACTCAGGGTTCCTTTCCTCACATTTGCCTCAATATCTTGTGAAATTTATATAAAGATATCTCCCAATTTCCATTGACTATTGATATAACTATAATATGGGTATCACATTAATTGTTTGCCTGAGACTTAACTAAAGATCTGTGTCTTATTTCTTCTTCATCTTGGTAATAAAGATTACAAATGTGTATGTAGATTTAATAGTGAGCACTTTGCCACAATTCATTATGTGCTGCTAAGTTCTATTTAATCCTTATTTTGGAAAGCATGTTGTGTATTCAAATAAAGGTTTAAATTTGACATTTATTAAAATAATAATTTGATTAATCACTAACACGGCATTCTGGAAAGAGACATGCAAATGTCTCTTCCCATGAACTAGATATTTAGTAATAGGATAGAAGCCAGATTTGAATTTTCATGCAACGGCCTGGCTTTATATGAACAACAGGTGAAACTCAGTTTTCATCCTGCTTTTGAACCTCTACTAAAA